ATGTCAGAGACTGGTACACAGTGTTTGTACCAGTCATATCTTCTCTGTTGTACTCCAGGAAATAACAACCAGAACATACTGATAACCATAGCACTGATATACAGGAGTGTAGGACATATATGAAATACTACGCAACAATTTGAATTTGAATTTTTACTGTACTCAAGAAAAAAATACTACTGCTTGGGGAGAAATTATCAAGAAAAACGTAGTGTTTATGACATTTTTTTATCTGATTGATTCAAAATCAGTTTTTTTGTGGTAGAAGTATGTTTACCTCAGAAATACTAGTTTCATCATTTACAAAAAATATAGCTGTTTGAATGCATAGTGAAGACAATATATCTTCACCAATTATCATGATTTTTTAAAAAAATATATATTTGAAATATCTGTGATAGATATTTTTCAACAAAATTGTTACCGAGCAAAGCAGAAATTTTCCATTTTTCAATAAGAATATGTTGATTTTGTTATTTCATGATTATCATTTTTTTTCTGCATTATATCACACAGCACAATGTCAAGCTTTGAGATAAAATATTTATTTCTGAATCATCTCGATCGAGGCACAAAATCATTGATGAATATTCAATGTGCATATAGGCATATATAACTTGAATATTTAATGTGCATATAGGCATATAAAACTTGATTTATTTCTTATCAAAGTTATTTGATTTATTCATATGAAATTAGATTCCCCCCCACCCCCTAAAAGAACAACAAAACCAAAGCAAATAAAATGTGTTCTTGTTTGGTGACTGTCATAGTTTTCTGCCCTTGTATTTCAAATCCAGACTTGTCATTGTTGTCTGCCCTTTTTTTCGCATTTAGACATGTCATATCTGTCTGACCATATTTTTCATACCTAGACAAAAATGATGTCATAGTTATCTCCCCTTGCATAAACAGTTGTCTGGTAAGCAACAAAGAACTAAACATTTACAGTTATGAACTATCTACTTTTGTCACCGTGGGGTGAAAAAATGTCAACAAATTGATGCACGAAAAAATTGTGAATTGGGAAGGAGCTTTTCATGTTGTCTTGACTCTTGACCTACTTTCTACTTTTGTATAAAGTCTTTTCATGCATTATAAAACAACCTTCTACAATCATGACAGAAATAAGACTATATCTCTTTAAGAGTAGACTATGTACATGTAATTAACACATCACAGAGGCTCCAGGACATGATAGAAATCAAGGGGGAGGTTACTCTAATATTGCAACAAAATTCCAATAATAAATATGCTATTCATGGTGCATACTTCAGCATTGGTTATCAAAGTAATATTCTTAAATAATTGTTAAATCTTATTCTTGGACAATTTTCATGATCTTTTCCCTGATATATTCATTAAATGTCAAGCTGTTGCCAGGACAACCATTCAAACACTAGCTTAAGCATGGTGGTCATCTCTCCTGTCTAAGCAGATGATTAAAGAAATTCAGGACAACATGTCCAAATGTGTCTTCAAAATTTGAAGTGTGAGTTTAATGATGATCATTTACATAACAAAATCCAATTCGCTTTTTCTCCATTTTAAATGATTTGTTGATAACATCAGAATGTTGATAAATATCATGTAGCTGGGCATACTGTGCAGTACATGTAGATGATATTCTCAATATTTTGGGGTAAACTTCATTTGTAACAACACAACTAAGTAAAATCATATGTCACATGGTATTGTGTCCTATCTGGAAAGTTCTATACAGAATTCTACATAAATCACACTCTCCATTGGAAGGCAATGTACTGTTAACTTTGGAAGAGTCTCTCGTAACTTCTTGAATCCTCTGTACGATGTCTGTTGTCTCAGTGACCTACTTCAGTAAGAAATAGGTATGATGAATTTCACATATGAATACCAGAAATCAATATAAACAACAATTTGGTCAGATAACCTGTAGAGAGACATTTCATATGCCTCAACATGCACATCACTTTTAGACTGAAATTACTTTAGAATGGGTATAGTATGCTTGTTTTTATGCATACAATGCAGACAAGATCACAAATTTTGTGGTGTTTCAACACTTAACTTCAATCCCCTAAATTTATCTAGATGTCAATCTGATCTAGCAAATCTTTGCCTTTCTAACTCCAGGCTACCAGCATGTACGTAATGGTCATTACATACAAACACTTTATGCTCAAGTTGGAATATTTACAAAATTTCTAAATACACCTTATATAACATGATTTTATTGAAATTAAACATCAGGTATGGCAAGTTACCAACAAGAAGCTCATGTGCCTGCATTGTTCACCTGGTATTCAATATTCTTCAAAAATACAATCAATGTTCATAACAAATACATTCATATGTACGCTATTTGCATTCAAGCTGAACGCAATCAATCAATTTTAACACTTATAATTTCCACAACAAGCTTTATCTTCTAACATTCAACTACATATGGTCATTTCTACTTTCTTCTCAACATTTGTGGGGCTTTGACCTTTGACACCTTTCCTGGAGATATTCAGCTCCTTTGACCTTTTCTTTTCCAAGGTTTACCAGAAATCTTTCACAGGGTTTGATTTGACTATGGTTCAAGGTCATTTTTTTTTTGCAACATTTTTCAGACTTCATCCGAGAGATATACCTGCCAAATATCATGCTTCTAGATCTTTCAGTTAATCAGAAGAAGTTGTTTGAAGTTTTTCCCACAGAAAAAGACATAAGCATGTTTACATGTGATTTTCTTGAGATAGAAGTAGTTGCATCCTGTGTACGTTATAAAAAGTGACTTGTAGTAACAAGATAGATAACCTACCTGTAACAATAATTTGTGTTCAGACCTATAGTGTTCTATAAACTTTATATACTGTACTATATATATGTAATTCCCTGAGGCTATCATCAGCTACAGAGTTAAAGCTTTGGACACTTTGTTCCTTCTTTCCTGTATGTGTTAAGAATTGTTCCAGCTTTTAATGGTATCAGATAGCATATTGGGTAGAGCGTGAGACTTCCTGCAGGAGGAGCCACATGTACCCTAAACAGTGGTAGATAAGAGCTGCTAACACTGCTATTTTAGGGTTCCTTTACCGAACATCTGTGAGCAGGTGTGAGGCAGGAGGATCCATTACTGATCGCGGATATCCAAGAAGAGTTATTGATTTAAAAGTAAAATAACTTAACACTTCCAGACAGGTCTACGGCACATCACTGCAGAAACGAAACAAGAAACTTTGCCACGCAGAAATCAATTTTACTATTAAAACAGTGGAAGAAAAGGTTAGAGAACCATTTGATGGAAACTCTGTATACACCTATAGGTACTGCTACATTTTAGTGTTCACACATTACTTTGACATGTTCATACCCTCTCATAATACATAGCTGTGAAATTTCATGAATTTTTCAAATTTCAAGTAAAATAACGATAGGGGTGATGAAAAAACAGTAATTAAATCTATAATTCTTGCCAACAGTTTCTCACACCATGAGGGTTTTCTAGTTCCTGGCTGCATTCCCATCGTACAAAGATTAAAAAAGTGATGTACAACAGATAATTACATAATAAAGAATGTAACGCCATATATAGTAGTCTTGGCGCGATTCTAAGGTAACAATTTTTTCTAGTTTCCATGACTACCAATTTCTGTTCAATCATTAATTTTTGGTTGGCTATTTCTTATCCAAACATAAGAAGTTTAGAGTTTAGTCAATTCTGATCATCCACAATGCCTGTATTTCTGTTCTCTGGTGTCAAGTTTGATAAAACATACCAACAGATACAAAATCTCTAAGAAATCATACTTGCCAACATTTTTTTAATTTTCATGTCGGAGATTGAACACATTCAAAACTTCTCCACTCAGAAAAGTGCAATTATCTATTACAGATCTCCATCAACTAAAAGTACTTTTTATAAACTTGATCCTCTGAGCTTATTGCTATGTAACGAAACATATACCGACAGAATTGAGCATCCTGAAAATGAGGCTACCATAGTTCTGACAAGGTTGTTAAGTGAGAATATGATTCCTCACAAGGTCTAGTGTGGCGCGTTGGACCGTACTACTAAAGGAAATTGTATGATTTCAGCATGTTTCCTTGAACATCAGGAGGAATAAAAAAAAGATTCTTTGAATTTTACGCTAGAGTCATAAAGACCGATATTCCCTTATCACTCTCCAAATGTTTCAATCTTTTCTTTGTAATTTGAAAATTTAACTCCATTACGGCTCGCTGAACTGTCAAGTGATTCCTACTTCAGTAGGTTGTTCATTTTGTATTTCAATTTCTTTTCTGTCGATGACATAATTTCACAAATTCTCGAGAACATTCCTAATTTTCTACTTCATTTTCTCTCCTTCAGATGATTTTAACACAATAATCATTCTCTTTTCAAGTCAAATTGGTAGGGAAGTTTTTTGGTTTTCATCAGTGCTAATTAACTCGCACACTACCTCTCGCTAACAATGCCTCAATGCTTTGTACCCACGTAGTTTATTGAATTGTCTGATCTGGGAGGGGGTGAGGAAGGCAACATGAACAAAAGCTGTGTATGACAGGTAACTGGTGTTCTGGAGGTTCCCAAGACAGAAATTCATCAGATTTAACATGGTAGGCCGTCAAAAAAATATTTCACTTTAATGGTATTTGTCATAATGCTTTTGCAAAATACAAAGAATTTTTTTTTTGGTTACATTTTCTGTGTTGATGGTAATTCAGTAACATTTTCAAGTCTTTTACTGAAAAATTGAGACTTCTGTCAAAATTTCATATTTACTGATTTAATAGAATATATTGTAAAATTTTTGGTTCTACCATATAAAACTTGCATTATTAGATTAAAGTATTGTAACACCAGTCTCTTAATGAATGTTCAGGTGTGTGGCTTCCAACTTCAGACATTTCCAAAAATGAATAGGAAACAACAAAACTATAAAAGTAAAACTGTCATCCAAACTTTCTCAAGCTTTTGTTCATCTTGATGAATTACTGTTATTTTATCATATCAACATAAACTGACATACCTGACGGGCATATAATCCTTGTATTGTCGTCGTTGACGCTCGTATTCTGGGATGGCATGCCAGTTAAACTGAAGGTTCCAATCAAATCCCCCAATACTCGTACTTTTGGCACTGCCATATTGGTATTTAAATGAATCATCTTCAATGACATCGATGACAGGACAGACGACAATAGAATTGTTTGTAGCGATTCTATCTAATAATGGCTCCAGCCATCCTACAGAGAGAAAAAGTCAGTAGAGTGGACACTCATTATCTAACACACAGAGAAACCATCAGTAAAGTGGACACTCATTATCTAACAAACAGAGAAACCGTCAGTAAAGTGAACACTCATTATCTAACAAACAGAGAAACCGTCAGTGGACACTCATTATCTAACACACAGAGAAACCATCAGTAAAGTGGACACTCATTATCTAACAAACAGAGAAACCGTCAGTGGACACTCATTATCTAACACACAGAGAAATGGTCAGTGGACACTCATTATCTAACAAACAGAGAAACGGTCGGTAAAGTGGACACTCATTACCTAACACACAGAGAAATGGTCAGTAAAGTGGACACTCATTATCTAACACACAGAGAAATCATCAGTAAAGTGGACACTCATTATCTAACACACAGAGAAATGGTCAGTGGACACTCATTACCTAACACACAGAGAAACGGTCAATGGACACTCATTATCTAACACACAGAGAAACGGTCAGTGGACACTCATTATCTAACACACAGAGAAACGGTCAGTAAAGTGGACACTCATTATCTAACACACAGAGAAACGGTCAGTAAAGTGGACACTCATTATCTAACACACAGAGAAACGGTCAGTAAAGTGGACACTCATTATCTAACACACAGAGAAACGGTCAGTAAAGTGGACACTCATTATCTAACACACAGAGAAACGGTCAGTGGACACTCATTATCTAACACACAGAGAAACGGTCAGTAAAGTGGACACTCATTATCTAACAAACAGAGAAACGGTCAGTAAAGTGGACACTCATTACCTAACACACAGAGAAATGGTCAGTGGACACTCATTAACTAAAAAACAGAGAACAGGTCAGGACACTCATTATCTAACACACAGAGAAGAGGTCAGTAAAGTGGACACTCATTATCTCACACACAGAGAAACGGTCAGTAAAGTGGACACTCATTATCCAACACACAGAGAAACGGTCAGTAAAGTGGACACTCATTACCTAACACACAGAGAAAAGGTCAGTAAAGTGGACACTCATTATCTAACACACAGAGAAACGGTCAGTAAAGTGGACACTCATTATCTAACACACAGAGAAACGGTCAGTGGACACTCATTATCTAACACACAGAGAAACGGTCAGTGGACACTCATTATCTAACACACAGAGAAACTAACACACAGAGAAACTGTCAGTAAATTGGACACTCATTATCTAACATACAGAGAAGAGGTCAGTAAAGTGGACACTCATTATCTAACACACAGAGAAATCATCAGTAAAGTGGACACTCATTATCTAACACACAGAGAAATGGTCAGTGGACACTCATTACCTAACACACAGAGAAACGGTCAGTTAAACACACAGAGAAACGGTGGACACTCATTATCTAACACACAGAGAAACGGTCAGTAAAGTGGACACTCAACACACAGAGAAACGGTCAGTAAAGTGGACACTCATTATCTAACACACAGAGAAACGGTCAGTAAAGTGGACACTCACACAGAGATCTCAGTAAACTAACACACAGAGAAACGGTCAGTAAAGTGGACACTCATTATCTAACACACAGAGAAACCATCAGTAAAGTGGACACTCATTATCTAACACACAGAGAAATGGTCAGTGGACACTCATTATCTAACAAACAGAGAAACGGTCAGTAAAGTGGACACTCATTATCTAACACACAGAGAAGAGGTCAGTAAAGTGGACACTCATTATCTAACACACAGAGAAACGGTCAGTAAAGTGGACACTCATTATCTAACACACAGAGAAACGGTCAGTAAAGTGGACACTCATTATCTAACACACAGAGAAACCATCAGTGGACACTCATTACCTAACACACAGAGAAACGGTCAGTAAAGTGGACACTCATTATCTAACACACAGAGAAACGGTCAGTAAAGTGGACACTCATTATCTAACACACAGAGAAACGGTCAGTAAAGTGGACACTCATTATCTAACACACAGAGAAACCATCAGTAAAGTGGACACTCATTATCTAACACACAGAGAAACGGTCAGTAAAGTGGACACTCATTATCTAACACACAGAGAAACGGTCAGTAAAGTGGACACTCATTATCTAACACACAGAGAAACCGTCAGTGGACACTCATTACCTAACACACAGAGAAACGGTCAGTAAAGTGGACACTCATTATCTAACACACAGAGAAACGGTCAGTAAAGTGGACACTCATTATCTAACACACAGAGAAACGGTCAGTAAAGTGGACACTCATTATCTAACACACAGAGAAACGGTCAGTACACTCATTATCTAACACACAGAGAAACGGTCAGTGGACACTCATTATCGAACACACAGAGAAACCGTCAGTGGAGACTCATTATCTAACACACAGAGAAACCGTCAGAAAAGTGAACACTCATTATCTAACACACAGAGAAACCATCAGTGGACACTCATTATCTAACACACAGAGAAACAGTCAGTAAAGTGGACACTCATTATCTAACACACAGAGAAACCGTCAGTGGACACTCATTACCTAACACACAGAGAAGAGGTCAGTAAAGTGGACACTCATTATCTAACACACAGAGAAACGGTCAGTAAAGTGGACACTCATTATCTAACACACAGAGAAACCATCAACACACAGGAGAAACGGTCAGTAAAGTGGACACTCATTATCTAACACACAGAGAAACGGTCAGTAAAGTGGACACTCATTATCTAACACACAGAGAAACGGTCAGTAAAGTGGACACTCATTATCTAACAAACAGAGAAACGGTCAGTAAAGTGGACACTCATTACCTAACACACAGAGAAATGGTCAGTAAAGTGGACACTCATTATCTAACAAACAGAGAAACGGTCAGTAGAGTGGACACTCATTATCTAACATACAGAGAAGAGGTCAGTAAAGTGGACACTCATTATCTAACACACAGAGAAATCATCAGTAAAGTGGACACTCAGTCTAACACACAGAGAAACCATCAGTGGACACTCATTATCTAACACACAGAGAAACAGTCAGTAAAGTGGACACTCATTATCTAACACACAGAGAAACGGTCAGTGGACACTCATTATCTAACAAACACAGAAACCGTCAGTGGACACTCATTATCTAACACACAGAGAAACCATCAGTAAAGTGAACATCATTATCTAACACACAGAGAAACCATCAGTAAAGTGGACACTCATTATCTAACACACAGAGAAACGGTCAGTAAAGTGGACACTCATTATCTAACACACAGAGAAACCGTCAGTAAAGTGGACACTCATTATCTAACACACAGAGAAATGGTCAGTGGACACTCATTATCTAACACACAGAGAAACCATCAGTAAAGTGGAAGAGAAACGGTCAGTAACACTCATTATCTAACACACAGTGAAACGGTCAGTGGTCACTGATTATCTAACTCACAGAGAAACGTTCAGTGGACACTCATTATCTAACACACAGAGAAACGGTCAGTAAAGTGGACACTCATTATCTAACACACAGAGAAACCATCAGTAAAGTGGACACTCATTATCTAACACACAGAGAAACGGTCAGTAAAGTGGACACTCATTATCTAACACACAGAGAAACGGTCAGTAAAGTGGACACTCATTATCTAACACACAGAGAAACGGTCAGTAAAGTGGACACTCATTATCTAACACACAGAGAAACCGTCAGTAAAGTGGACACTCATTATCTAACACACAGAGAAATCATCAGTAAAGTGGACACTCATTATCTAACACACAGAGAAATGGTCAGTGGACACTCATTATCTAACACACAGAGAAACGGTCAGTAAAGTGGACACTCATTATCTAACACACAGAGAAACGGTCAGTAAAGTGGACACTCATTATCTAACACACAGAGAAACGGTCAGTAAAGTGGACACTCATTATCTAACACACAGAGAAACGGTCAGTAAAGTGGACACTCATTATCTAACACACAGAGAAACGGTCAGTGGACACTCATTATCTAACACACAGAGAAACGGTCAGTAAAGTGGACACTCATTATCTAACACACAGAGAAACGGTCAGTAAAGTGGACACTCATTATCTAACACACAGAGAAACGGTCAGTAAAGTGGACACTCATTATCTAACACACAGAGAAACCATCAGTAAAGTGGACACTCATTATCTAACACACAGAGAAACGGTCAGTAAAGTGGACACTCATTATCTAACACACAGAGAAACGGTCAGTGGACACTCACTCACTCATTATCTAACACACAGAGAAACGGTCAGTAAAGTGGACACTCATTATCTAACACACAGAGAAACCGTCAGTAAAGTGGACACTCATTATCTAACACACAGAGAAACCGTCAGTAAAGTGGACACTCATTATCTAACACACAGAGAAACGGTCAGTAAAGTGGACACTCATTATCTAACACACAGAGAAACGGTCAGTGGACACTCATTATCTAACACACAGAGAAACGGTCAGTAAAGTGGACACTCATTATCTAACACACAGAGAAACCGTCAGTAAAGTGGACACTCATTATCTAACACACAGAGAAACCATCAGTAAAGTGGACACTCATTATCTAACACACAGAGAAACCGTCAGTGGACACTCATTACCTAACACACAGAGAAACCATCAGTAAAGTGGACACTCATTATCTAACACACAGAGAAACCATCAGTGGACACTCATTATCTAACACACAGAGAAACGGTCAGTGGACACTCATTATCTAACACACAGAGAAACCATCAGTAAAGTGGACACTCATTATCTAACACACAGAGAAACCGTCAGTAAAGTGGACACTCATTATCTAACACACAGAGAAACCATCAGTGGACACTCATTATCTAACACACAGAGAAACCATCAGTAAAGTGAACACTCATTATCTAACACACAGAGAAACGGTCAGTGAACACTCATTATCTAACACACAGAGAAACGATCAGTGGACACTCATTATCTAACACACAGAGAAACGGTCAGTAAAGTGGACACTCATTATCTAACACACAGAGAAACGGTCAGTGGACACTCATTATCTAACACACAGAGAAACCATCAGTAAAGTGGACACTCATTATCTAACACACAGAGAAACCGTCAGAAAAGTGAACACTCATTATCTAACACACAGAGAAACCATCAGTGGACACTCATTATCTAACACACAGAGAAACGGTCAGTGAACACTCATTATCTAACACACAGAGAAACGGTCAGTGGACACTCATTATATAACACACAAAGAAACAATCAGTATAGTGGACACTCATTATCTAACACACAGAGAAACGGTCAGTGGACACTTATTATCTAACACACAGAGAAACCATCAGTAAAGTGGACACTCATTATCTAACACACAGAGAAACCGTCAGAAAAGTGAACACTCATTATCTAACACACAGAGAAATGGTCAGTGGACACTCATTATCTAACACACAAAGAAACAGTCAGTAAAGTGGACACTCATTATCTAACACACAGAGAAACGGTCAGTAAAGTGGGCACTCATTATCTAAGACACAGAGAAACTGTCAGTAAAGTGGAGTTAGTAATGTTCAACCATTTAACATTAATCTTACATCTATATAAGTAATGTGTACAGATAAGTAAAGTTTCGATGTTATATTATATTAAGATTATGTCCTTAATAAGTTTATCTTATCTATAATGAAAATTTCAAAAATTTTTTTTATTAATTTCATGTCATTTATTTGTTGCTAAACTTTACAACTTCTGTGCCCAACAGAACCTCCAGAGCTCAGCTCTACTGTATTCCTAATTGGTTACCAAAGCATAAATCTTGAATGCGATAAGGGTCCATATTTCAATAAGAACCATCTGTGGAGCATACAACAATGAGGAGAAGTTCATTCAGTAAGGTTTTCAAGATGGCGACCACCTCAAATGTGGTGCAGGTCAGAATTTCTGTTGGTTCTATCATCTGTGGACAAGATCAAAAGTGGAAGTTCTGTCTCACTACAATTTTCCATCTAGTAGCAGTTGCTACAACAAGATTTTAAAGATAGCAACTGTAACAGTCCTTCATGGTTCTGAATTGTGTTTAGGACCATCTATGGACAATTCCCGTAACACTAGTGGAGGTCCTTTTTTATATTAGAGGAGTAATGATCAAACATTGTCTACTAACAAATAGACTGATGATAGACCCTGAACAATGTGCCATAGCTCTTCTCGTCTTCAACAAGTGGAACTAAAAACAACCTCATTTGATTGAATAATAGTACTTTTCCCGTAAAATAAACATACAGACATAACAAAGAGTGTCTCACCTTCAGTACATTCACAGTGGGAGTCCAGGTATGTCAGAACGTCTCCAGTTGATACCGAGTAACCTAGTAACCGTGCTCGTATTAAACCTTCTCGTTTCTTAGTCCGTACTATTTTCACTTTGCCTAACTTTGCCATGTAAGTTTCCAATGGCTCTTTCAGGTGATCTATAATCAAGGAAATCATTTTATTGTCAATACAATAAAACTGAAACATGAAGGATAAATTATAAGTGGCTAAACGTGTCAGGAGAAATGTGTTACACTTCCTCCGTAACATTCCAACACCTTTATGCTAAAAGCCATCTCAAGTTTTGATGTTTTGATGTCAATGTAGCAATTAAGTGACGATCTGAAGAGCAGGAGTAATGTTTTATGTTTTAGTGAAGCTGAGTTCTGAGGTTTGATCATCTTCACTTTATGTAGTAAATATTTACAGGTATATTCAGACTGGGGTTTGGAATTATCTAATAATGAGTAAATCAACACCCATTCTACATTATATGAAATAATGTCATGAAATACAGATTGCTCAATATGGCGAATTATCTCCCCACATCCAGGCTTATCCTAAAGATAGTAAACCTGGGGACACAACAACTGTAGGTAGTAAACCTGGGGACACAACAACTGTAGGTAGTAAACCTGGGGACACAACAACTGTAGGTAGTAAACCTGGGGTAAACCTGGGGACACAACAACTGTAGGTAGTAAACCTGGGGACACTATGACTGTAGGTAGTAAACCTGGGGACTCAACAACTGTAGGTAGTAAACCTGGGGACACTATGACTGTAGGTAGTAAACCTGGGGACACAACAACTGTAGGTAGTAACCCTGAGGACACAACAACTGTAGGTAGTAAACTTGAGGACACAACAACTGTAGGTAGTAAACCTGGGGACACAACAACTGTAGGTAGTAAACTTGGGGACACTATGACTGTAGGTAGTAAACCTGGGAACACTATGACTGTAGGTAGTAAACCTGGGGACACTATGACTGTAGGTAGTAAACCTGGGGACACTATGACTGTAGGTAGTAAACTTGGGGACACAACAACTGTAGGTAGTAAACCTGGGGACACTATGACTGTAGGTAGTAAACCTGGGGACACTATGACTGTAGGTAGTAAACTTGGGGACACTATGACTGTAGGTAGTAAACCTGGGGACACAACAACTGTAGGTAGTAAACCTGGGGACACAACAACTGTAGATAGTAACCCTGGGGACACAACAACTGTAGGTAGTAAACTTGGGGACACAACAACTGTAGGTAGTAAACTTGAGGACACAATAACTGTAGGTAGTAAACCTGGGGACACAACAACTGTAGGTAGTAAACCTGGGGACACTATGACAGTAGGTAGTAAACCTGGGGACACAACAACTGTAGGTAGTAAACCTGGGGACACAACAACTGTAGGTAGTAAACCTGGGGACACTATGACTGTAGGTAGTAAACCTGGGGACTCAACAACTGTAGGTAGTAAACCTGGGGACACTATGACTGTAGGTAGTAAACCTGGGGACACAACAACTGTAGGTAGTAACCCTGAGGACACAACAACTGTAGGTAGTAAACTTGAGGACACAACAACTGTAGGTAGTAAACCTGGGGACACAACAACTGTAGGTAGTAAACTTGGGGACACTATGACTGTAGGTAGTAAACCTGGGAACACTATGACTGTAGGTAGAAAACCTGGGGACACAATGACTGTAGGTAGTAAACCTGGGGACACTATGACTGTAGGTAGTAAACTTGGGGACACAACAACTGTAGGTAGTAAACCTGGGGACACTATGACTGTAGGTAGTAAACCTGGGGACACTATGACTGTAGGTAGTAAACTTGGGGACACTATGACTGTAGGTAGTAAACCTGGGGACACAACAACTGTAGGTAGTAAACCTGGGGACACAACAACTGTAGATAGTAACCCTGGGGACACAACAACTGTAGGTAGTAAACTTGGGGACACAACAACTGTAGGTAGTAAACTTGAGGACACAATAACTGTAGGTAGTAAACCTGGGGACACAACAACTGTAGGTAGTAAACCTGGGGACACTATGACAGTAGGTAGTAAACCTGGGGACACAACAACTGTAGGTAGTAAACCTGGGGACACTATGACTGTAGGTAGTAAACCTGGGGACACTATGACTGTAGGTAGTAAACTTGGGGACACTATGACTGTAGGTAGTAAACCTGGGGACACAACAACTGTAGGTAGTAAACCTGGGGACACAACAACTGTAGGTAGTAAACCTGGGGACACAACAACTGTAGATAGTAACCCTGGGGACACAACAACTGTAGGTAGTAAACTTGGGGACACAACTACTGTAGGTAGTAAACCTGGGGACACAACTACTGTAGGTAGTAAACCTGGGGACACAACAACTGTAGGTAGTAAACTTGAGGACACAACAACTGTAGGTAGTAAACTTGAGGACACAACAACTGTAGGTAGTAAACCTGGGGACACAACAACTGTAGGTAGTAAACCAAGGGACACTATGACTGTAGGTAGTAAACTTGGGGACACTATGACTGTAGGTAGTAAACCTGGGGACACTATGACTGTAGGTAGTAAACTTGTGGACACTATGACTGTAGGTAGTAAACTTGGGGACACTATGACTGTAGGTAGTAAACCTGGGGACACTATGACAGTAGGTAGTAAACCTGGGGACACAACAACTGTAGGTAGTAAACCTGGGGACACTATGACTGTAGGTAGTAAACCTGGGGACACTATGACTGTAGGTAGTAAACTTGGGGACACTATGACTGTAGGTAGTAAACCTGGGGACACAACAACTGTAGGTAGTAAACTTGAGGACACAACAACTGTAGGTAGTAACCCTGGGGACACAACAACTGTAGGTAGTAAACTTGGGGACACAACAACTGTAGGTAGTAAACTTGAGGACACAATGACTGTAGGTAGTAAACCTGGGGACACAACAACTGTAGGTAGTAAACTTGAGGACACAACAACTGTAGGTAGTAAACCTGGGGACACAACAACTGTAGGTAGTAAACCTGGGGACACAACAACTGTAGGTAGTAAACCTGGGGACACTATGACTGTAGGTAGTAAACCTGGGGACACTATGACTGTAGGTAGTAAACCTGGGGACACTATGACTGTAGGTAGTAAACAAGAATAGATGTATTGTTTTGGGACTAACAATAGAAAAAATGTAACTCTTAATTTTACCTCATTGTTCACTTTAGTACTACATCTGTGAAAAAGCACTCATAAATACTGGTAATAATATTCATAGTGATTAAAAAAAATCCATTACATGCCTCCTTAATCTGGAAAAATATTTCTTTTTGTTTAAAAAAGTGAAAAAATAATGATGTAAAAAAGATATTGGTGTTCTCATGTTTTGACAAAAAAGAATTAAAAAAAATTGACATTTCTTTACTTTAGTAATGAGCTCTCTAAGTAGGGATCAACAATGAGGCGTCGGCATGACAACATATGTGATTCCAAAGCAACAATGAGGCGTCGGCATGACAACATATGTGATTCCAAAGCAACAATGAGGCGCTGGCATGACAACATATGTGATTCCAAAGCAACAATGAGGCGCTGGCATGACAACATATGTGATTCCAAAGTAACTATGGGCTTTTCTGTTGGAACTTTCTATATGTTATCTGTTTACATTAATTTGCTAACATTAAAATCTTTCCTCCCAAGAACAAAATTTGAATTAATGACTTACAAGGATTGTTAATGTTGTTTACTGAATACACTCTATAAAATCTAAATTCACTGAAATATCCTTAGAGATGGCAAATGTGTGAATATAGGAGTTCTAGGAGTTAGTAGTAGTCTCTGCTACACTTGTTGTGGAAAATTTGGATAAACAGGCAATCATCTGAATCCTTCTGGTTGTATTCATAAGAGGCCAATTGTTGATAAGTAGAATACACCACTGATCATTTTGTAAAATTCACTATGGGGAGAATTATTGAATTATGGAATATGATCATTTTAATGTTATTCTTTTACCATCAATTCCTTGGACCACCATGATTTTTATTCTGCTTGAATAAAATACATTAATACTGAAAAAAATTATATCAGCGTAAATATAACTACAGGCTGGATAATCAATGTCACTGGAGAGTTAAGCTGGAATGTAGCTTCTTTGATGTTTCTACTCAGAAAAAAAAAACATCTGACTGACACAGAAAAAGTGAAATACACAGATTACAGGACTGGGGTCCTATAGAAGCAGGCTTATCTTTGTGATTGAGATATTGAAAGGGAAAGATTACTGCATCCATCAAAGACAACCTACAGTGGGTTTCCTATCAGGAATGTATTTTCATTAAAGTTTATTGGAAATACAATCTCTGGTTCATGATATACCACAGAATGGTTGTGTGTTATTAGACATAGTGTTGTCTGGTGAAGGCTGGATCATGAAGCAGTATTTGTTACAATGTTACACGTTCATTTACCTGTATCAACTCAGCAGTCAGATCTAAACATGTGATCGCGAAATATTCAATAAATATCATTTGCTTCTTCAGTAATTACAAATAACCATGCCTAACATGCAGGCTAAACAGAATGGTTCAGTAACTGTTTTTACTGATAAATACCCACAGAGTTATTACAGTAGCCATAAATTGTCACAAAAGATTTTTATCTCAAAAGAATTTCTATTTCACAGGAATCATCCTAATAAGGTAGAAATGAAAGATTTCTTAAACAGGAGTTGTCAAGATAAAAAAGTTACATCTGAGTAAAAAACATTAAGTTTTTCAACAGCAGTTGCCATTCCTTGTTAGTGGTATTGGGGAGCCTTGTGATTAAGACAAGGCATGGAGGGCCACATAATGCTCAATCCTTGGGGACATATCTTCAAAACAGCATATGGTTGTCTCCCCTGGGAGGGGAATGTAAACTGTTTAAAATGACACTCCTTCATCTTATCTCCTCCAGTAAATGAAATTCAGTCGGAGCCTCATTTATCATGGACTGACAACAGAGTCTACCATTCTCTAGAATGGATGACAGACATTAACCCTGTGGCTGGGCAGATCTTGTCATACAGATAAATAAAATTCTGACCAACACCAGAAACCTCATCTTCCTTTTTTATTAATATCATTCATATTTGATTTTACCCATTTTAGCTGTCATACAGCTGAAATCTGTCACACTTATTCTCTATAACATTTCCTCGTCTATGAACTGTTTACAATGCATTTTATGTTAAAAGTGTTGTCAGTTCTTTTTTCACGAAACAACAAATGTTGTAATTACAAGTCGTGTCTGTAGAAGAGTTTTAGTGATGTGACAATAACCTTGAGCCAGTGATGCTGGGTACATTTGAATATATTCAAATGGCAAAAATGTTTGAGGATTTGTTTAAAGTTTGTAGCGATGGCTGTGCTAATGACATCATGATAAAAATTCTAATGAAAGTGTGTTACCTTGACATTTGTCTGTCAAGAAATAGACCCAAAAATGCAGATGTCAAATTGAAGTGTAGAAGAGATTTGCAGACAGGTGGATGACAAAATCATAAGAAATGTTTTGAGTACAGAAGGAGAGTATGATAAATACTTATTTGAAACTGATGTTAGGATGACAAAACTTGATGCTATCCGTTTAATGTTTTTTATCCTGCAAGTCTTGCTTTATTACCTGATAAATTTAATGAAAAATAGCATCTTATTCATATCAGAATTCAATTTTTTTCAAACATACAAACCCATATCAGAGAAATCATCGACCAGAACAATTTCGCGGAGTAGGTGGGGTGGAGATCTGTCTAGAATACTATGTACGGTTCTCAGCAAGACTGTCCATGCCTCATTATGAAAACACACCACTACACTGGTGTCAGGTAGTTTTTCCTGGTACTGAAGAGACTGACATCTGTAAAGACAATATCAAATAACACATTATACTCAAATAACACATCATACTCAAATAACAAGTAATACTTAAATAACACATCATACTCAAATAACACATCATACTCAAATAACACATCATACTCAAATTACAAGTAGTACTTAAATAACACACCATACTCAAATAACACACCATACTCAAATAACACACCATACTCAAATAACACACCATACTCAAATAACACATCATACTCAAATAACACATCATACTCAAATAACACACCATACTCAAATAACACATCATACTCAAATAACACATCATACTCAAATAACACACAATACTCAAATAACACATCATACTCAAATAACACACCATACTCAAATAACACATCATACTCAAATAACACACAATACTCAAATAACACATCATACTCAAATAACACACCATACTCAAATAACACATCATACTCAAATAACACACCATACTCAAATTACAAGTAATACTATAATAACACATCATACTCAAATAACACATCATACTCAAATAACACACCATACTCAAATAACAAGTAATACTTAAATAACACACCATACTCAAATAACACATCATACTCAAATAACACATCATACTCAAATTACACATCATACTCAAATAACACATCATACTCAAATAACACATCATACTCAAATAACACATCATACTCAAATTACACATCATACTCAAATAACACATCATACTCAAATAACACATCATACTCAAATAACACATCATACTCAAATTACACATCATACTCAAATAACACATCATACTCAAATAACACATCATACTCAAATAACACACCATACTCAAATAACACATCATACTCAAATAACACACCATACTCAAATAACACATCATACTCAAATAACACATCATACTCAAATAACACATCATACTCAAATAACACACAATACTCAAATAACACATCATACTCAAATAACACACCATACTCAAATAACACATCATACTCAAATAACACATCATACTCAAATAACACATCATACTCAAATAACACATCATACTCAAATAACACACAATACTCAAATTACACATCATACTCAAATAACACATCATACTCAAATAACACATCATACTCAAATAACACACAATACTCAAATAACACATCATACTCAAATAACACATCATACTCAAATAACACATCATACTCAAATAACACACAATACTCAAATAACACATCATACTCAAATAACACACCATACTCAAATAACACATCATACTCAAATAACACATCATACTCAAATAACACATCATACTCAAATTACAAGTAATACTATAATAACACATCATACTCAAATAACACATCATACTCAAATTACAAGTAATACTATAATAACACACCATACTCAAATAACACACCATACTCAAATTACAAGTAATACTATAATAACACATCATACTCAAATAACACATCATACTCAAATTACAAGTAGTACTCAAATAACACATCATACTCAAATAACACATCATACTCAAATAACACACCATACTCAAATAACACATCATACTCAAATAACACATCATACTCAAATTACAAGTAATACTTAAATAACACACCATACTCAAATAACACACCATACTCAAATTACAAGTAATACTATAATAACACATCATACTCAAATAACACATCATACTCAAATAACACATCATACTCAAATAACACACCATACTCAAATAACACACCATACTCAAATAACAAGTAATACTTAAATAACACACCATACTCAAATAACACACCATACTCAAATAACGTGTTATACTCAAATTACATGTAATACTCAAATAACACATAAAACTTAAGGTACAAGTCATACTCATATTATTAATAATACTCAAATTAATTTCACCTGCCTATCAAAAATGTTGGCAAAAGTCTTCTACGAAATTTAAATTTCATTTCAGTAATAATTATCATAACTTTAGTATGCAGTATTTAGGGTGCAGGCATGGCAAAGGAAGACCATGTTATTCATCTTTCTCCTGGGTGCTCGAATATTGACCTATCCGAGTCGTTCGAAGACAACCCTACCGGTGAGGAGGGTTCCCCCGGGGAAAGATGGCCCCAGGGCTGCTGAAGCATGCTCTGTCCAGGATGTGGGCCCTCCGGGCCGATGTCTCCTGTATTCTTGGGGCGGAGGTTTGCCCATTGCCTTCAGCATCGTCGATTCCCGAGTCCTTTTAGATTCCCTGGTGCCCCCTTGGGCATCCGTTCGGTCAGATTGGTCTCTGCCAGAAGGCACTATCATGTCTTCAGCTCTGGCCACTGACCGGGCTCGGGTTATGGAAAAGAATTCTTCCTCTACATGTGCTCCCGGGATTTCCTGGACTGCAACTCGGCATTGGTGATCTGTCGGAGGCTTCTGCCAATGACTATGCCTCACATGACTGGCAACTAGCCTCTCAACCAGCTAAGCTGGAATTGAGAGAGCTGGCAGCCTGGCCCGGCAAATCGGTGGACCAGGTAGTGTTAGATGCTAAGGAATACCACAAGATGGAGAGAATATTGGGGGGTTAGGGGTTGGGGGTGTCTCTCCGCTTTTCCCTACAGTGGCAGGAGATGACGTAAAGATGCTTGGGCTTTGTCTGTGGTCAAGGAGGCTCTAGGTATCCTCCTTCTTCGGGATCCGCCCCTTGCCACCCAGCCTATTTTCTTTCCTCTTCCAAGGGATGCGGAAAAGGCTCAGGCACTCCAGGAGGAAGTAGGGACCATGCTTGCCAAGGGCGTGGTTGAGGAGGTTCCTATGTCAGAATGCACTTCCTGCTTTTACTCCAGAATGTTTCTGGTTTAGAAGAATATCGGTGTGTGGCGTCCGATTATAGATTTCAGTGCCTTCAACAGGCACGTAGATTCTCCTTACTTCAAGTAGGAGACCCAACAGGGCATTATGGCCTCTGTGAGGGATGGAATGTGGGCAACTTCAGTAGATCTGAAAGGATGCCTATTTCCATATTCCAATCAAGAAGTCGGCATGGAAGTTCCTCCGTTTCATGTGCAATGGCAGGGTCTTCCAATTCGGGGCCATGCCCTTCGGGCTCATGACAGCTCCTTTGGTTTTCACCAAGTTGCTGCAGGTGGTCGTGGGACTGCTTCACTCACACAGAATAAACGTCCACATCTATTTCGACGACTACCTCATGCTTCATTTGGCGAGGGAATCGCTAGTGAAGGACACCAGTCTAGTCCTTAAAGTCTTGCTCAGAGTCGGCTTCATTCCTTCCAGATAGAAGTCAGAGGTTTCCCCTTCTAAGGACTTCAACTTCCTGGGGAACCGTTTTGACATGGTTCGGGGCTTAGCCCTTCCACCTTTGGAGAAGTTCGAGAAGGCCAGGGCTCTGGCTCTGACCTTCATCACTTGGTCACATGTCCAGGTGTGTTGATTCCTCAGCTTTCTGGGGTATCTCAACTCCCTGGAAGATGTGGTCCCCTTAGGGAGCCCCTGGCTCTCCCCACCAGACTGAATCTCTTTCACCAGCCTCGGTCTAGAACGATACACTCTCGACCAGAGATCCTCCACCTTCACCCGTGGAGGCTATCTCTGGAAGCCTCGCCAAGGCAGGCTTTTCTCAAGAGGTGTCAGATCGCATCACGCGATCAATCAGGGCTTCTGCTTTTGCCGTCTACCAGTCACGTTGGAAGATCTTCTGTGATTGGTGTGTCGGCAGGGAGGTTGATCTGTTCGAAGCCTCTGTGCAGTTGATTGCGGATTTCCTACTCTCTCTGTTTAGGGACTGCAATCTGGCACCTGGCACTATTGCTGGCTATTGTAAAGCTATTGCCAGTGTCCTTGCGTGTTATGGCAGAAAAGAGATAGGTTTGTCCTCCTCTCTTTCTGCCCTAATCAGAGGCTTCACTCTGGATAGTTCGGCAGCTGACCCCACAGTGGAATCTGGCCTTGGTGCTAGATTCCCTGACTAGGGCTCCTTTGGAGTGTGCCTCGTTAAAGTTTGTAACTTTCAAGGCAGTCTTCTCTTTGGCTTCTGGACGTAGAAGGATTGAAGTCCATGCCTTATCATTGTTCCCTTCTTGTCTACGTTGGTCCAGAGGCTGAACTTATGTAACTCTCCTAACTGATCCTTCCTTTTTAGCGAAGAATCAGGTCCCAGGGTTCTAGTCTGATCCCATCAGGATCCCGGCTTTGACTACCTCGGAGGAGCGAGATATGTTGCTTTGTCCTTGTCGGGCTCTTAGGTTTTATCTTGATAAAATTATCTCTCTGTGAGCAGGGCTCTCGATCCCGTCTGTTTCTGCCCATCAAACAGGGACAACGAGATATCTCCTCCCAGTCGTTTTCCTGGTGGGTTTGCCAGGTCATTAAGCATGCTTATGCGCATTCTGATGAGAACGCTCAGGCGAGAGTGAAAGTGCGGGCTCATGAGGTCAGGGCCCTCGCTGTGTCCTGGGCCCTTCTAAATGGGTCCTCTTTTCAGAAGGTCGTGTCTGCAGCATTCTGGCGGGGCAGGGATGCTTTCACAGATTTTTATCTGCGATCCCTAGCTTCCCACTCGGAAGGCCTGTATTCATTGGGAACTTCTGGTGGTGGCACAGTCAGTGGCTGTGCCTCCTCAGTAGCCCTAGGGCATGTCTTTCTGTATAGCGGCACGTGGGTACACCTGCTCTTACATGGGGAGATTCCTTCCTACTCTTTGGCTGTGCTGAATGGGCTGTCTGGCTTTTAGTCACCACTACGGTAAGACGAATTCGCATACTAAAGTTATGGTAATTATTACTGCCTGGCTGCCTCTCTGTAGGGTGCTCCATAAAGGTTATTAGAGAAAGGGAGATCACTCTATGGTCCTGCCGTGACGGCTCATGGATCATAGGGAGAGCGGGATTTTTTTAATCTTTTGTTGTTGGGATACAAAGATGGGTGTAGGTACTGTATTTGCATACTAAAGTTATTGAAAATTGGTTTTACACGAAAAGACCTCAAGTTGAAGATCATTTTTTCAATTTACTATTTAAT